GATTTTTCTGTCGCGCCGCCTCTTTTTTTTTGTCGGCCCATTTTGTCGGGCCGATTTTTTTTTGTCGTGTGTGTTTTTTTGTCGGGGAGGTTTGGTTTTTTGTCGGCCGATTCTGTCGGGGCAATCGTTTTCTTTTGTCGGCTGGGCGCCGCCCGCAATGCATAGATGCAGGGAGGCAGACGGGTCATGTGGCAGCAAGGGCGCACGCGCAAAACGCAGAAGGATAACAAGAAGGAACGCGAACCAGGGCAAGGCAAGAACAACACGGAGGGGGCGAGGGGGGCGGCAAGAGCAGATGATGACGAACGGGAAAAGACATTTGCTCGTGGAGTACGTGTCCCGACGGACCACTCACAGGGGGCGCCGAAGTGATCGCGGCACCTTTGGCCTCCAATCTGTAACCTCGATGCCAGCAGCACAGGCGTACGCAGGATGCTCTGTGGGCACAGTGCTCATGAAGTCCGCCCCGCGCGCGACGCAGGAAACAGGCGACGCAACTCAACTCCCTTGCGCCTGAAATCGGGCGGCCGCGCACGTCAAGAAACTCAAGGAGCCCCCGCGGTCGCCCCAAGGGGCCCCGCAAAGGCCTGTCAGGACCAGGACAAAAATAGGCCTGGCGAAATAACCAACCACATGCTGCTGCGGGTACCATATGGGGCCACGATTGCGCGGGGAACGCGCCAAGATGAGGCGGCGCCGCCATGTCGACCACGCCAATGGGGCTTCCAGTGGTACTCCACGCGGGGCCACGAACCGAGTGAAGGGTGCGCCCCAATGGGGCGCAGCCGCCATGTAGACCCTGCCACTGGGGCCTTCGAGTGAGCCCCATGCGGGGCCACGAGCCGTGCGAGGGGTGCGCCCGCATGGGCGGTACCGCCATGGGGCCATGCCACTGGGGCCTTCGGTGGACCTCCATTTGAGACAACGAAACGTGTGAGGGGTACGCCCAAATGAGGCGGCGCAGCCACGTGGACCTTGATCCAGCATGGATCCTGGCACGTCGGCGGGCCTGGCGAAAGCATAAATGTATCCAAGAATTTAGGGTCTTGTCCGAGCCCATCGATATCCTCCTGCGTGAATGCATAATCTTCATCGCCACCCAGACTTATTCATGGTGAGACTCACGCACGCCCCGTTCGTGGCCGTTTTGCGGGGGTGCCTCAAGCGGTTTGCCTGTCTTCTGTCCCAACATCCTTGGCTACCAGAGCAGACTGTGAGGATGTCTCAGGCGGGACGCTGGTTTCAGCCCCCCCTGACGGAAACCACCACGTGTTATTTCACTGTCCCATTCGCGGCCGTTTTGTGGAGATGTCTCAAGCGGTTTGCCTGTTTCCTGTCCCAACATCCTTCGCTGTCGGAGCAGATTTGGAGGATGTCTCAAGCGAGGCGCTCATTCTCACCCCCCATAGGGGGAACCGCCAGGGCTTATCTCACGGTCCCGTTCGGGGCCGTGTTGTTGGGATGTCTCAAGCGGTGTCCCTGTTATCTGTTCCAACAGCCTTCGCTTTCGGAACAGATTTGGAGGATGTCTCGAGCGTGGAATGGGAAGTGCGCGCGAATGAGGGGGGGAAGGGGCAATGCGGCGAGGAGGAGGAGGATGAGGCGGAAGGCGTGGATGACACGGGGAAAGGGAGGGGAGGGATAACGAGGGCGGTTGAGGGGGGCGAGGGAGTGGGAGAACACCAGGACGACGAAGGCGAAGGAGGATGAGAAGGAGGAGGAGGATAACAGGAGAAAAGGGGGGTAACGTGAGGAGGCAGGGGATTAATATGATGGCGAAGTGGGGTGACGGGGGGTAGAAGATAACAAAGAGGAGGGGTCATGCCGCATTCAATTTCCTCTGGCCCTTTCCGGCCGTTTTGCTGCGATTTGGGCGGTTCTTCGGGTGGTGCCGAGCGCTCTAATACCCAGAAGGGCGAGAGCGTGACGTTCCTTTTCTTTTTCTTGTGTCTGATCAGTTTGATGGCGCCCGAAAAGCATCCTCGCTGACAGCGCGCGGTATTTTTTGGGAGCTCTTGGATTGTCCTCGGGTTGGTGTGAATCATTTTGGGCCGCATGGGCCGTCGCATCGTGATTGTCTCTATGAAAAATGATCACCTTCAGCGGTGTCGGCCGTCGTTGGGGGCAGTGTGCGCCGCCATGGCAGTTCGCATCAATGCAGAGGACGTTTGAATGACATAGGGCCGATGGGGGGGGGGGGGCGGCATATTTGGGAGCAGTTGCGACGATTGGTATGGCCGGGCCGCCCTCATTCTAAATATGCGACGTGCTCGTTTTCTTTGTTTCTTCCAGGGCGTGCTGTCAGCAGGGGGAACGCCGCGCGCCTGGATGCCCCGATGGGAGCTCACGGATTGGATTTTACAGTGCGACGGTGGCCCCAGTCCGTTATCACCGCGTGATGTTCGCCCCGCGCGGATGGCGTTGCATGTCAGACGGGTAATCCCCATCGAGGGTTTGGTGCAGTTTGCATGTTCGCCATATCCTAAGATGGTTTTTTGTTATTACGTGGACGCCTCCTACTCCTTCTCACTCTTCTCCTGCCCTCTCCTCCTCATGCCCCGACTTACTCATATACAGACTGACTCACACTCAGACTAACTCAGACACATATTCACACACAAATACCTACTCATACTCATACCTACTCATACTCAGACCTGCTCCGACTCAGACTTACTCATGCTGAGACTCACGCGCGCCCCGTTCGCGGTCGTTTCGTGGGGATGCCTCAAGCGGTTTGCTTGTTTTCTGTCCCAGCATATTTCGCTATCGGAGCTGATTTAGAGGATGTCTCGAGCGAGGCGCTAATTTTCACCCCCCTTAGGGGAGCAACCAATGGTTATCTCACGGTCCCCTTCGCGGCCGTTCTGTGGGGATGTCTCCAGCGGCTTGCCTGTTTTCTGTTTCAACATCCTTCGCTTTCGGAGCAGATTTGGAGGATGTCTAGAGCGAGGCGCTCATTTTCACGTCCCTAAGGAGCCGCCGAGGGGTTATCTCACGGTCCCGTTCGCGGCCGTTTTGTGGGGATGTCTCAAGCGGGTTTGCCTGTTAGTTGTGCCGACATCATTCGCTTCCGGAGCAGATTTGGAGGATGTCTCGAGCGAGGCGCTCATTGTCACCCCCCTAAGGGGATTCAAATATTCACTGCGTGGGGCTCCCCATATGCGCATTTATTCCCATGGACCTGTCCGCCGTGAGAATCTAGGCGCAAAAACTTTCGAGTATAAACGGGTTTCAGTTGTGACGGTCTGGTCATGAATCTAACTGAGAATCAATTGGAGTGTGAATGAGCCTCAGTAGTACGAGCGCGTCTCTGCGCATGTCCCTGGGTCCTCCTGGGGCCTCCTGGGGCCTCCTGGGGACCTACTGGGGCTTCTTGGGGCCTCCAGGAGCCTCTTTGGGCCCCCTGGGGCCTCCTGGGACCTCCTAGGGAGGATTCGTGCCCGAGGAGAGGCCCAATCTATAGCAACAGTCGTACATAAAACATTGCGACTTGGAGCCGCAGAAAAAAAAAGGACAATCTATAGGAACACGCGTACAACACCAAGGAGTCGTGCCCTAGGAGAGGCCCTATAGGAACATAAGTACACAGGATATGGACAATCTATAGAAACATACGTATAACATCAAGGATTCGTGCCCCAGGTGAGGCCCAATATATGAGAGCATACGTAAAACACATGGGATTGGAACCACCCCTGTTGCCTTCTGAGGCCTCCTGCTCCTGGGGCCTCTCGGGGCCTCCTGTTGCCCTCCGGAGACCTCCTGGCGCTTCCTCTGGCCTCCTGGGGCCTCCTGTGGCTTCCTGAAGCCTCCAGGAGCTTCCTGGGGCCTCCTAGAGCCTCTTGGGGCATCCTGTGGCCTCTTGGGTCTTTCTGTGGCATCCTGATTCATCCTGGGACCTCATGTGGTCTCCACGGGCCTCCTGGAACCTGGAGCCTCCTGTGGCATCCCCAGGAAAACCAGCGCCCACGAGTCTGGCCACCGATCGAGACATCCTCAAAATCTGGCCCACCTGGGGGGGTGAAGTGGAGCGCCTCGCTCGAGACATCCTCCAAATCTACTCCGAGAGCGAAGGATGCTGGGACAGAAAACAAGCACACCGCTTGAGACATCCCCACAAAACGGCTGCGAACGGGACCGTGAGAGAACCATTGGCGGCTCCCCTTAAGGTGGTGAATATGAGCGCCCCCCGCCAGTCCTCCTGCCAAGGGAACCTGGCTGTGGTTTTCGGCGACGCACCAGCGCCCTTGGCTAACAGCGTTGCAACGCACGCGCTGCATTACGCGGAAGTAGTAAGATGATATGTTTCTGACCTGATGCGTGGGCGCGCACGGCGCGGGCCTACATGGCGCGTCGAAGGCGCCTGACACACGCCCGCGATACTATTCACGACCGAAATCGGAAAATTAGCTCCGGCGGCGCACATGCGGTGGGACACGCGTGCGTTCGGCATCACCCGCGCGAGGTGGCTAACAATTTCGCGGCGTTGCGCTAAAAATGCCATTGTGCCCAACATCGTTTCGAAGCGCGCTGCGGTGCGCCGCGCAAGCGCGCGTGGACTGCGGCCTGCGTGCGGCCCGCGCACTAGTACGAGCGATTGAATCTGAAAGGGCCAGGCGCGGCACGTGCGCCATGAAAACGCGGCACGCGGCAAAAGCAGTTACGAGAAGGAAACTCGCGCGATTCGCGTGCCTCCGTCGACCGAAATCGCTAAATCAGGGCAAGCGATCGGCGACGACCGCGTTTGACGCCACCAATAAATACATGAAAAAATGCAAAAACAAATGTGTCGAGGCCCTCGTTTTGTTTCCTGGTGGGCGCAACACCTGACACCTGCAAGCCAGCATTGCAGCCTGACGCGCCTTGGCGCGAACGGCACACACACACACACTGAGGCGCCGACCAATCCCCTTCCTGAGCATTCGAACGCCAACAATGAAACCAGGCCAAATAGTCCGCCAGCAAAAGCAGAAACAACTAGCATGGCATGGACAGCGTTAGGCCCGCGGCCCGTCACACCAACAAATTCTTTGCCTTGACCCTTCTGGAATCAAATCTTCTATCTTGGCTTCGGCCTTGAACCTGAATGCGAATGGGTTGACTCTCTGCGCGCTGAATCTCGGGAGTGTGGCATCCGGGTCATCAAGCTGGGCGGCTACAGCGTCTGCTTCATCTTGTCTGAAGTGCTTCACCGTCGCGCGCATTTCGCGATAAAGCTTATGTAATCCTCGATCATCATACCCGAGATCCCTCAACATGTTCAAACAATGAATCTTGCGATTCCCATGGCGGCTGTCGTGATCAGAAACGCTCTTCTCGTACATCGAATTGTTCTTGCACTTGTTCTTCCAATCTGCTCCACATCCAAGTGTTTCTCTAATCCGGGTCCTTGCGGACCAGTCTCCGTAAACGTCCATCAGCATCGAATCATCTTGGAAATGACATACATGTGTATTGAAACCAGGAACTTAAATTCCCGCGGGGCACTTTGGGGCTTGAGGGCCCGGGTTCCGCGTAACATTCACCCCTCCAATCATCATCAAGCCAGGCGTGCGCTCCATGGCCAGATGGTCCCAGGCTGCTTGCTCCCAAGGGAATGCATCATTCCCTCGGCCATTAAAAGGGTAATTCCATGCCTTTTTCAGGATCTCCGAGGTCGTCTGGCCAGGCTTTGCCCAAATCAAATGGCCATTGCACCCCTGGTTCAACCATATTCCCGATTTCTCTTTCAGATGCTTGGAAGTACGAACATCTGTCACGGGATAACACTGCTCTGTCAAATCCGAGTGTCCGTCCCAATGTTTGAGGTCATACTCGGACGGTGTGAAAGAATTCATGAATTCAAGAAGGCTTGGTGCATGATCCATTATGGCGGTGTCAGAATCGTGAATTATCAGGAGATCGGCGTCAGGATAGGTATTACCAATATGCTTTAACACAAGAAGCTTACCCCAAGGACGCTCACGCTCACCATAGCGCGCATGCGAAACACGCTGCGGCATCACGTAATGGGCAAACTCATAACCATGTTTCTGAGCGTAGGCGTAATCTACCATAGAAGCCAACTCGACAAGCAGCATGTCCTCAATCTTCACTTCGGCAGGCTTCTTGCTATTCAGGGGCCGATTGTCGCAATGTACAATTACAGCCTTGAACTCTGTATTGCGCTCAAGTTCGTGTGAGTTCTGCGATGTCGCTGGGAGCCGCAACGCCATACCCGTAACGAGGTACAACGCCGTGACCGCGACCCACAGCATGGTGAAACAATTCGACTGAACGATAAGACTACTCTCACAGGGGAAGTGCTGCTTGAGACAAAATGGCTTGAGCCAAAATGGCTACGACTCTCTTGGGCCGTGTTGGAGCCCTCCAAAGCCGTCGTGCGACCGTCTTGGGGTCCTCGCGTGCCGTGTTGGGGCGATGCTGAGGGCCTCTTGGGCCGTCGTGGACGCTGTCCAAGCCAAAGAACCGGCTCTGCCAAACGTGTACGTGTTCCGTGGGGGATGGGACAATGTTTGCCTCCTGGGCGTCCTTTTGGAAGCTTCGGGGAGCGTCTTGAAGGCCTACTCGGCCGTCTTGACATACTTGGCCCTCTTTGACCGTTCTTGGACGGTCTTGAGATTCCCGTTGGCCCCCTGAGGCCGTCGTGGCAATAGCTTGGGCGCTCTTGGGGCCGTCTAGGGCCGTCTTGGGTCTCTCTGAGGCTCTTGTGGGGCTGACAAAGGCCGTTCAGGGCCGAACATGGCCGCGAAGAGGACCTTGACCCTTGACTCACAACCCAAGCACGGTGGCGCATGCACAGGAGGCCTCTGTATCGATAACAGTGGCTTTTCGTGGCGTTGTAACGTCATACAATTTGCAACGTCATCCAGGAAACTTAATAGCCGTCTTGCGAACATCAATGCGTAAGGCCTCTGCGTGCTTGTGTGAATCATTCCCATGCTCTTTTGGGCCGTCTGGCTCTGTTGGGTCGCTTGGAAACCCTCTCGGGCCGTCCGTGAATCCTCTTCGACCGTCCGGGAAAGCCCTCTTGGGCGGTCTTGAAGGGACGTTGCCGTCTGGGGCCCTCTCGGGCCCCTCTGGGGCACTCTGGGGGAACTTCCTGAAGCCCTCTTGGAGCTATGCTGGGAACCGTTTGGGGCCATTAGGAGCCTCCGGGAAGGCTCTTTTGGGCCGCCTTGAAGGGATTGGGCCTTCTGGGGCCCTCTCGGGCCCCTGTGGCTGTGGGGCCCCTTGGGGGTCCTCCTGAAGCCCTCTTGGGGCTCTCTTGGGAACCTTTTTGGGGTTCTCCAAGGGTCTCTCTTGGACAGTCGTGGAGCTCTCTGGGGCCGTCTTGCTTGGGCCGTCTTGGGGGCCTCTTGCGCCATCTTGGGGCGGTCCTGGGGGCCTCTCGGGCCGTCGTGGATCCTGTGAAGACCAAATATGCAGGTGTGCTAACTACGTATGTTTTCCAACAAGGGAATGGGACAACCTGTCCCTCTTGTGCGTCCTTGCGGAGGCCTCGTGGAGCGTCTTGAGGGCCACTTTGACCGTCTTGAGGCCATCCTTGGCCCTCTTTGAGCGCTCTTGGGCCGCCTTGGGGCCCTCTTGGGCCTCCCTGAGGCCGTCGTGGTGGTAGCTTGGGCGCTCTCGGAGCTGTCTTGCCCTCTGAGGCGCCATTTGGGCTGACTTAGGCCGTCCAGGGCCGAACATGACCGAACATTACGCCATCAGATCTGGGCCCCCCGAAGCCAACCTCCTCGCACTCCCCCGTCTTTATTCTCCCGGCGAACGGATCGCAACGCTACGCGCGCTTTCCGTCATTCGCCGCCCCCCAGTCGATTTATCACCGGGGTGCCTGGCGCGCTGGACCTGCAAGGCACTCCCCCGGGAGCGTCGGCAGATCCCGCGGGATACCCGAAGAGCTCCCCCCCAACCCACCTCTCATTGCCCAAAATAGCCCCCGAGATGGCCAGGACGGCCGAAGATGGCCTCCAAAACGCCTCCAAGACGGGCACGATGGCCCCAAGAGAGCCCAACATGGCGCCCAAGATGGCTTCCAAAACGGTCCTAAGATGCCTCCAAGACAACCGAAATGATTCAAGAGAGCCAAAGACGGACCAAGAAGCGCCCAAGAGGCCCCAAAAATTGCCCAAGAGGTCGCCAAGATGTCCTCCAGGACTAGCCCGAAATGACTACAAGAGGCCTCCAAGATGGCACCAGGACGGCCCAAGAGGCTTCCAAGACGGCCCCCAGAGAACCCCAAGACGGCCCACGAGGCCTCCAAGACGCCCAAGACGGCCTTCAAGGCGGCCCTGAAGCGCCTCAAGAGGGCCCCAAGACGGCCCAGAGAGGCTCCCAAGACGGCTTCCGACGGCGTCAGACGGGCCAGGAACGCCGTAAGACGGCCAAAGAGGCCCCCAGGAAGGCCCCCAAAGGCCCCCAAGAGGCCCAAGGAGGCCCCCATGAGGCCCCCAGAGGCCCCCAGGATGCTCCCAGGAGGCCCTAAGAACGACTTCAGATTCTACCAAGAGGTGTCCTCACCCTTTTCCTCATCCTCCTTTCTCCTCCCTCTTCTTCTCATCCTCTTCCACCTCCCCGAGTTCCCCGAAGGGCTTCCACAGCGGCTGGGGGAACGCATAGTCCAATAGCGTGACCAGACTTTGCCCACACGTTTGGCCACACGAACGAGGGAAATAAACGGGTCTTACGCGAAACGACATAGCGACCTTACGTGGCTTGCGCGGGCCACCAGCGTGGCCCGCCACATCGTAAACGAGGGCACTCACGCGCGAGCTTACGCGGGCAGCTTACGTGACAATGCCAGGGCAGACAACCCCGTGATTTTCCTGGCGCCGCCCACGCAAGCGTATCCCTGAAAGGCGACAAGGAGGCCGCGGGGGGGGGGGCGGAGGCGGCGAGGCTCAGGGGTGAGGGAGCGAGGAGTGGGGAGGGAACGAGGAGGAGCTAGGAGCGAGGAGGAGGCGGAGGAGGAGGAGGAGGAGGCGGAGGAGCGGGGGAGGAGGAGGAGAAGGAGGAGGAGGAGGAGGAGGAAGAGGAGGATGAGGAGGAGGAGAAGGAGGAGGAGGAGGAGGAGGAAGAAGAGGAGCCCGGAGGAGGAGGAGGAGGAGGAGGAGGAGGAGGACCAGCGTAAAACGATGTTGGAATTAACCCTCCCTCCAAGCTTCCTCTTCATAGGCCCCCCACAACGGTTCTTTTCCATTGGGGGAACTCCCCGTTGGAATACATCCGTTTAAAAAGATCCTGAGGCATGCCAAAACATCGTTCTCGGGAATTCAACGCCACGTATCAACCTGACTGCTGCGTCTTGACAAACCTGAAATGTGCCAGAGGGCCATTTTCGGGACTGCAACTCCGCGAACCAACATAACTGTTGCGCCCGCGTAATCCTGAATCATTCCAGAGCACAATTTCTGGTACGCTGACTATTGGAATCCGTGTAACTCTGGCACGTGTTGAAAACGAACGTGCGCGACGCTAAGGCGAGAGCCACATGTTGAAAAGGAACCACCCTCAATCCGCGAAACTCTTGCAAATGTTCAAAGCGAATGTGCGCGGCAGAGCCGCATTTTGAAAACCACCCGCCCTCGATCTGTGAAACTGCTGTCACTTTTGAAGCTTCAGGGTCATAAGTGGTGAGGAAATCTCAGGCGAAACGCGTGGCCCGCCCTAAAAACTGGCCTCGGTGTGCGACAAGAAGGAGCTATATCTAAGGAGAAGGAATGGAGGAGGAGGAGGAGGTGGAGGAGGAGGAGGAGGGGGAGGAGGAGGGGGAGGAGGAGGAGGAGGCGGCGAGGGAGGCGGAGGAGGAGAACGAGGAGAGAGGAGGAGGAGGAGGGAGGGCGGTGGTGACTCACCGAGTGCGTCTTATAAAACAAGAGACCGAGATCCTCGCCACCGTCGCCCTCGCCGCGGGGAGCCCCCGAGGCGCGGAGAGACCCTCGCGGAGCGCGGGCGCTCCTGCTGCTTCTGCTGCTGGGCGCGCGCCTGGGCCATCCACACCGCCTGGGCGGCCTCCTCCGCGCTGATGGGCGGCTTCGCGGGCCCGGCCTTGTCCTGCAGGGGAGCGGCGGCGTCACAAGAAGACCTGTGGATGCCTTGACAATGGACACTCTGACAATCCGACCGTTGAATTAAAGATGTTTGAAATGCGTAAAACATGTTCTAAACATGTTTCAACATGTTTGTATACAAGCATATATATACATATCTATGTATCCAAGACGTGTTTGAAGCATGTGTTAGACATCTGGAAATTATTGGCTGCATGCCTCCTCTCCACTAACCGACTTCCACAGAACGAGTCGTTTTCGTCGTCGGCGGCGAGGCCGGGGCAGTCCGCACCAGCGCGGGGCTGGTCGGGGCAACCGATGGTTGGGCGAAGTGTCCGGCGTGCACGAGGCGGAGGAACGAAGACGAGGGCGGCCGCGCGAGGGGAGGAGGGGGGAAGCGCTCAGACGTTGGAAGATTTCCGCGATGAGCAGGCTGGAGCGGCCAGCCGGGGCAGCGGGCACCGGGCCACAACAGACGCACACGATGAGAGATCATGGTGTGATGGATGAAAAGGCCCCAGGACACACAAATAAATACACACAAATATTTTCCCATATTTTTAGGGTTTTCGTCTTCCCCCCCACTTCCCATATTTTCCCATATTTTCCTGGGAATCGACGATTAATTGTGTCTGTGTGTTTCTTTCCCTCCTGAAACAGACGCACACGATGAGAGATCATGCTGTGATGGAAGAAGATCAGAAAAGCACGGCCTAACCATACACACTCTCGACGGTCCGGGCTGATGGGGTGCTTCGCGGGCCCAGCCTTGTCCCGCAAGGGCGGCAGCGCTGCTTGAGGGGCAGCTTCTGCAAGACGAGGCCAGGACGAGGATAAATGCGGGTGAGGATGAATCGGGATCTCACAGATATGGCGGTTATAGAGGGAGTCTCGGGCGCCGCGGCCTTCTCAAAGCGTTCTGGAACCTTTTGAGAGCGTTCCGGGACGCTCCAAAACGGATTTGTCCTCGTCCTGGTCCCGTCCAACAAGGGCGGCGCGGTTACTTGGGAGGCAACTCCTGGGAGGTCTTCGTCAGAACGATAAAGGGCTATTAACAGCCCGATTCAAGGGCCACTGATCCAGATTGAGCTGGATCAAGTCTGGGATCAAGCCGGATGAAACCTGAGGAAACCAGCTTAAGCGGGAATGCACCGCACTAAGCGGGATCGAATCGGATGGAGCCAAGCAAGCGTTCGATCAGGGATAAACCAGCGCCGATTCTGAATTTAATCTCCCAGGATAATGCATCCGAACGTTACTGTACAACAGACGCAAACGACACAGCCAACCTTTATCAGAAGTACATACGATAAGGATGCAAGGGCCTTGAAGGCCGTGCCGAAATTTTGCGAACGCGGCCAAGGATGGGCCGAAGGGGGAGGATGCAAGGGCAACCATGTAAAACTGCTCATCCTTGCTATGCGGGTTGACTGTAAGACATCTTGCTGTCATGGAGGAGGACCATGGCGGCAGAAGCATATACTTTGGGCGGTATGCGGTAACTTCTCGGAGCGTTGCTCGGGCCCCCATGGCGGCTCCCCTGGTGCCGCCTCTGACGCGCTCTGCCCGCCAGGGAGCGGGGTCCAGCGCAGATCCACGAAATCCGCGCGGACAGTCTGAAAGTGTAGGTTTGTCGCCTTTTTTGTCATCGTTGGTGCACGTTTTGTGATTCGGCGTTTCGGCATTGGGCGGAAGGGGGGGATCTGGCTCCAGACCACTGCTTAGTGCGACTGTTTGCAGCAGTCCGTCCTATGGGGGAGAGGCCCCCCCTGCTCGAATTAGGCGCCAAAAACAGCCAAGATCTACTCCGTGGGGGGAGGGGGAGGGGGGGGTGCGAGGGCCCGCGCCGATCGGCAAAATGATGAATACGAAGACGATCGCACGTAAGAAATATTGGGGCACGTGTTTGTCGATCTTTGATGGCACTCGGGTGCCCTTGGGCTTCCGCAGGTCCCTGAGGGCCACTGGGAGACAACAAGAAGTTCCCGCGGGGCACCCGCTGGGAGGTCGAACTCTGGTTTGATGCGCCCACTGTGCTGCATGTTGTCCTCTGCTCTTCCTCCCTCTCTCCCTCTCCCTCTACTCTCTCTCTCTCTCTCTCTCCCTTCCTCTACTCTACCTCCCGCAACTCTCTCTCTCTCTCTCTCTCTTTGTCGCCCTCTCAGTCTCACTTTGGGGAGCAAGCGCTGGCGGACTTCTCGGATCGGCTCTGGACACCCCTCCCGTTGCGCGCGGAGCGCGCCAGGGGCGGCGCCGGAGGCGCCGACAGAAAGCCGCGGGCAGCGCCGAAAACTTACGTCTATGCAGCGTTTTCTTCTTCGACTATCTCTTTCTCTCTCTCTCTCTCTCTCCTCCTCTCTCTCTCTCTCGCTCTGTCTCCCTCCCTCTGGAGCCCTCGCGGGGCCCCCGGGGCCGTCGCCCCTGGGCACCCGTGCTCAGGCGGCGGCAGCGAGGCTGGGTTTCGGTCCAGCATGTGCCCCTACAGGCGGATTTTGGACGAAAACTAAAAAAACAGTCAAAACATATTGGAAAATAGTCAAACATGGCCAAATAATCATCTCCACACTATTTTCTGACTATTCTTGGATATCCCCCCTGTCGAGGGACAGGCCCGATTTAAGGCTGGGTGAGAGTTCCTGGATCCTCGCCCCCTTCCCCCTCCACCTCCGGTCCCGGCTTCTCCGCGGCTCCCCCCTCCGTCGATCTCCTCCTCCCTCTGGCCCTCGCTCGCGGCCTCCCTCTCCTCGTCGCCCTCCTCCTCCAGGAGCGCAGGGGCCGATCTGGAGCGGCATGTGGCCGCGGGCTCGGGGCATGAGAACGCTTCTCCTGCTCCCCCCCCCCCGTTCGCCCTCCTCGGAAGTTGGCCCCCTGGGATGCCCCGGCAGCGCCCTCCTCAGCCTCCCCGCCTCCTCTTCCTCCTCCTCCTCCTCCTCCTCCTCCTCCTCCTCCTCCTCCCTTGTCCTCCTCCTCCGTCTCCTCGAAGCTCAAAGCGCACACAACCAAACACATCTCATTATACGTACTCACTATACTCGTGCCTGCCTCTACTTTGCCACCCGACCAGCTGACGGCCGGCCGATCCGGGAGGGTCCATCCTATACGGCCGCGCCTGGGACAGAAGAGCACCCTTCAAGCACATTAGACCCCCCCGCTGGCCAAACTGAGGAACATTCGGGGGTGCCCTCCCCCGGGATGCACGCGAATATCCAGCAAACTCGGGGAACACTAGGGTTAGGTCGGGCATGTCCCCCTACGAGGGGATTTTGGACGGAAAAGAAAACAATACCCCAACAACACACCCAAATGGTCCAAAAATACGTGAAACAAATAGTCCCCAGACCATACTTTGAAGATTTCTGAAGACTCCTCCTTGTAGAGGATCAGGCCCGACTCAACATCAGGGCACCCTTCCCGAACCGACCTCGATCTCTGCTGCCTCGGCCCGACCGCACCTGCCGCAGAAGGCAACACGGGACCGCAGCCCTGCCTGTCAGCACGGCCGCTCCGCCGCCCGCGCCGCAGACGCCGCGGCCAAGGGGGCTCGGGTTGGTGCGCGCCTGCCGCGGGGCAGGGCGACGGTGCCGCGGGCGCCTCGGCGCCTGCGCTCCGCTCCCACGCGCGGAGCTCCCGCTCGGGCGCGGCACGCGCGCTTCGCACGCCCGGCGCCCCGACGCGCAGGGCGCCGAGCGCGTCGCTCTTGGGGAAGCCAAGGGGCACCGATGCCGCTGCTCACAGGGCCCTCTCCCGGGGCGCTTCCTGGCCAGGAGTTCGGGGCGCCTCCAGCGGTGGCGACGAGGGCCGCCCAGGAGGCCTCAGAGGGGGGAGAAGCGGGCGCGGAGGGTACACCCTGCAAAATGCTTAAGAAATCATGGATTAAGAAATTCATAGTCTCAGAACTTGAATAAGAACCCAGAACTTCAATGAAAATCTTAGGATTCACATTGAAACATTAAGAATCATCGAGACTCTGGCCGAAAACGTAAGTTTTCTTAGACATCGCCTAGGGTGTAGAGGTGTGTGGGCCTACCTTCTCCTCCCCGCAGAGCACGCCGCTCGCGCCTCGGCGGCGCGCAGGCTCGGCCCGAGAGTGGCGCTCCCGCCGCGGCGCGGCGCGCACCCGTCCCTCTCGCCAGGTCGACCGGGGGGCCCCCCCCCCCGGGCGCGCGTCTGCGGGCGCCTCGCCGCCCTCGCCAAAGCCCGCCCGCCGCTCGGAGGTGGCGTTCGCTCCCGCGCGGGCGCGGCGCGCGGGCTGCCGCGCGCCGAGGTCACGCGGGAGCGGCAGGGTCAACGCGTGCAGTGAGGATGCACGAGGAGCGGGCTGACCCACTAGGGGGGTCCGGTTGAGAAGGGGGTGGTGCAATAGATGTGGGGCCACTGTGCTGCAGAAGTGCTGCGCCGGAGAGTTGTCTTGCAATGCGTTGTAACTCGCGTGCTGCACGCGAAACTCCAGCCACACTTCTGCGCACCGGAATGTATTGCACGCCCCACATCTATTGCAGCCCACAAATCTATTGCACCAGATCTTCTGCACCATCCCCTTGTAGCTGGACCCCCTATTCCCAGACCCCCCGCGTCATGATTTTTCATTACCCGAGGGGGTCTGGGCTTGGGTCAACCAAAGATGGAAAGGATGCGAGGGACGTGGGAAGCCGTGTCGGCACTCTTCGAGCGAGGCGCGGCCAACGACAGGGGCCACGGATGGGCGGAAGGTGGAAAAGGGCGGCGCCATCTGTACCTCTCCGCTGCTGCCGGGCCCGGCCCAGGCTCAGCCCAGTGGCGGTGTGTACGCCACGCCCTGCTGGCTTGGCCCGGGGAGCGCATTCTGCACAACTCCTGGGCCCGGGCAGGGCCCGGCCAGAGGGAGCCGTGGATGTGTGTAGACCTCGTCGCCCGAAGGTGCAACATGCAAGGGCAACCTCGAAAAACCGAGCACCTGGCAGCGCGGCAGCGGCGGCGGCGGCCGCGCGACGGAGCGCGGGCGAGGGGCGGCCCTCTCGCCCAGAAGAGAAGCGCCGCGCGCCGCTTGCGCTCGTGCGAGTGCCAGGCACCGTTTCGCGGCGGCGGCCGCACTCGTCGGAGGCGCCTCCGCGCGCCCCGCCCCCTGCGCGGCCCACGCCGCTGCGCCTTCGCCGAGCCGTCGGAGGCGGGGCCGCGCGCGCGCGCCTCCCGTTCGCTACATCATAGGCGGGAGCGCGCTCGCTAAGCCGAGGATCGAGTGGTGCCTCTCAGAGTTCGCCCTTCTGCTGCACGGTTTCCCCCGGGGCCGTAGGCGACCCGAGGAGGAGGAGGCGGAGGAGGAGGCGGAGAAGGAAGAGGAGGAGGAGGAGGAGGAGGAGGAGGAGGGAGAGGAGTAGGAGGAGGAGGAGGAGGAGATGGAGGAGGAGGAGGAGGAGGAGGAGAAGAGGAGAAGGAGGCGAAGGACGGGTCGCCTAAGCCCTTCGGAGAAACCCTCCACCTTCTGTTGTGGGGGAGAGGGGGGGCGGGAATGGGCGGGGCCCGCGGGCTCCCTTGGCCTCTCCCGCTCCTCCTCCTCCTGCTCATGCTGCTGCTGCCCCTCCTCGTCGCCCTCTCTCGTCCTCCCCCTCCCCCCCTCCCGCCCGCAGCTCCCCGGACCGGTATGACCCTAGTCATCCTCTCTTCCTCTTCCTCCTCCTCCTCCTCCTCCTCCTCCTCCTCCTCCTCCTCCTGCTGTTCATCCTGCGCTTCCCTGTCCTCGTCTACAAGGGAGAGGGAGCATCCACACAATCCAGCAAAAGAGAGTAGAGGCGACTGGAGGCCGAATCAACGACTTTCTTCGAGGGGTATAGCCCTAACCGAACCAAGGGGACAATTGTTACCCATCGGTCGGAAGAAGCAGGTCGAAACATAAAGTAGGAAGTCGTTGAAAATAGGTTGCGTTCCGTCCGCCCTCTCGGGAGGACGGAAAAGGTGAAGCCACTCGATCAGTGTAGTAGGAAGGCGCTTACAACAAAAGATCGGAACTTGGGAATCCCAAAATACCTACTTTCAACGACCGATGGGTATCCGTGTCTGTTCAATTTGGCCCCGCTGCGACTGATGCGAATCGCCCAGCCTGCCTGGGCAGCGAGCAGCAAAAGCTCTGAGCGCCACCCGGTCGCGCCGGTCCGCCGCCGCGACCCTCTGCGCCTCCCGGATCTTGTCGCTCATCACCTCTTGCGCCACCCCATGTGGTGTTACGCGGGAGGCAACTCCTGCTCGTCCTCTTCCTCCTCCTCCTCCTGCTCCTCCTGCTCCTCCTGCTCCTCTTCCTCCTCCTCCTCCTCCTCCTCCTCCTTCTGCTCCTATCCTCCTCCTCCTCCTCCTCCTCCTCCTCCTCCTCCTCCTCCTCCTCCTCCTCCTCCTCCTCCTGTGCACCGAGGCCATGCCTGGTCGGGGCCACCCTGGGCCTGGAGTGATGTATACGCCCTCCTGGACGAGGCCAGCACGGTCCGTACACTGCTGCTGGGGCCCAGCATGGCCCTGGGCGGGCAGGCAGCGTGGCAACCCCAGTCAACAAGCAACACGGCGACGATTTGCTCTCTATGGCCTGATGATGCCGCCGCAAAATGATAATATGGAACGCCCTTCCCCCAGTCTCCCCGTCCGCTCTCCGCGCCGCTCTCTCCTCGCCTGCTCCTTCCTCCGCTCTCCTGCCTGCCTGCTGCTGCTGCTCATGATCTTCCAGTGCCCTCCTGGTTCTCATCCTTTCCCTCCTCCTCCTCCTCCTCCTCCTCCTCCTCCACATGTTTCATCCGATTCCTCAGCCCCCCTCCCAATTTCCTCCTCTCATTCCCCATACGACAGGTCGGGGTTGCTTGGATGCTATACCAGAACTCCCAAACATTCCACCCTGTATACCGTGGCCGCCAGAAGCCCAGGTCCCCCAAATTTCCGAAGTTCCCCCCCCCCGCTTCGCCTATTACTACTGCCGCCCACCCTGACATACCGCGGGTGCCAGATTCCCAAGTCCATCCGTCTTGCCTTCACAACTACACTTACGTTCTCCACTATTCGTTACTACGCGTAGCACCAACACAACATTCTACAACCACAACTTTTGTCGCTTCTACTGCTACAGCTGTAACCACACACAATGTGATCCAAACATGAACAGGATGATGAGAATCCGCCGACCCTGTCCGCGTGTGGGAGAGGCTTTTCCGTCTTCCCCACGGCGTCGTCGCCTCTTCTGCTTTCCGAGGGCTCCCTGCACAAGTCCACACATAGATTTAACAACGTCGTCCTTCAGTCGAAGGGAAGCCCCTTCCCTTGAGCCCTTCCCCGCCGGAGGGGGGGGGGTCCCGGGGCGACTCCCGGGGGGGGCCCCCCTCGGATGCGCAGCCCCCCGCCTCTCATCCTCCTGCGTCCTGGGGCTCCGTTGGCCGTCGCGGGCCGTCTGCGGGCCCTTTCAGCTTATCTTGTGGCGGTACCCTTGACGGCCTCTGCGGGCGCTTTTTTCTTTCCGGAGGCATGAAGCGCGATTGCACTGGCCTGTTGAGGGCGCTCGTTGCCTATCTTGGCTCTCCCTGGAGCCGTTCCCGAACCCTGGAGGAGGCCTCTTGGGCTGTCTTCGGACGACCTTGCAGGCATCTGGCGCCGTCTTCGAGCCATCTGAGGGCATCTTGGACTCCTCTACCTCAAGTGTCTTCGTCGCCGCTGCCTACAGGGTCGGCGGCATCGGCCGTAAGGCCTTCGCAATATGAGAACAAAAATACTACGACATTGCGACTGGTGAGAATGACTGAAATCACCACGACGGAAAGACCCCTCGTGCGTCTGGCGACCTTCCTGGAGACCTCCTTCGCTCCCCCTGTTTATCGAGCCGCCACCGCGCAACACCCGAAGACGGCCACCAAAAACCGGCTCCGGGGCGACACACTTCCTCCCAGAGAACGGGGCCGGAAATCCGATGGCCGCGCGAGGAGCAACAAAATTCAACGCGCCGGCTGTCTGGGGTCGTCGTCGCCGTCGCCACCGTCATCGTCGAGGTCGTCGTCGACGTCTCTCGGCGGCGCCCCACATGGCCCGGCGCGAGGAGGGCGGCCGTCTGAGTCGGCGGAGGTGCGTCTCAGACTCGGGGACCTTTCCAACCCGCGGCGCAACAGAGCTCCCGACCCCGTTCCCGGGGCACATCTTGTCGCCCCCGACCCGTTTTGGATGGCCCCGGGCCCCGACAACGGGCCGCAGAGGCCGGCGATCAAGGAAAAAGGCCGGGGCGGAAGAAAAGCAACGGATCTCAGGCGAGATTGCACAGCGACCTTCCGCGGTGGCTTGCGCGGGCCGCCAGCGTGGCATACCAAGTGGACTGGAGGGCGCTTAAAGCGTAGACTTACGCAGGCAACTCACGCGTGAATGTCGGCGCAAACGAAACCATTTTTCTGCCTCGCTCATACGGCGGGTTCTGGAGAACCTGAACCAAAAAAACAGTGCCACATCTTGAGAGGCCGAAATTTCCTTCCGCCGGTCTCCGCCGGCGGAGGCGGCCTAGTTTTACTTCCGACCTTCGGACGAAGACGTGATACCCACTCCTTCGACCCTCGAAGCCGAGGCCCTTTTCTGGAACGCCTCACACATCGTCGGAGATCTGGGACGACGTCGGCGACGGCGACGATCTCGACATCGGCGACGGCGACGATCTCGACATCGACGACGCCGCTCGGGCTGGGCGAAAGGGGGGGTAGCAAAGGGGAGGTTTGAGAATCAGCTCACGTAGCTGATTTTCCTGGCGCCTCCCGGCGCCAGAGGCGGCCATGTATCGAGGAGTGGCCCCTCGGTGGGGCTGAAACCAGCTGCATGCAACAGATTTCGTTAACCCCCCTTTCACTATCCCCCCCTTTCATCCGGCCCGAGACGCTCGCGGCACTGCCGGCTCGCCCGACCGGTCGCGCGCGCGCGCAGTGCCTCCTCGGGCGACTTGGGCGCCATGGCCTGGGCGGCGGCGATCCTGGAGGGCGCCGTCGGCGCCGCCGGCCCGCCGCTGCCGCCGCTGGCCCCCGCTGCCGCAGAGAAAAGTGCAGAAGTAGAGGGGCCCAAGGACACACAAAGGAATAGACACAAATCCCATGATTCCTCTGATTTTCCCATATTGTCTGGGCTTTCGTCTGCCCCTCGCTTCCCATCTTTTCCGATATTTTCCGGGAGATCGACGATTACCTGTGTCTGTGTACTTTTCCCCCTCCTGTGCAGCTTTCTTGGATCTGCGCTGAACCCCAAGGGTGACGCCGGGGAGGCCCAGCGCAGATCCAAGAAGTCCGCGAGGAGCGCAAACAACAAGTATGTGGATGCCGTTTGTGCATCTTCGATAGAAGAGGCGCGGGGGGAGGGAGAGGGAGGAGAAGGACAGGGACGAGGAGGGCTCGGGTCGGGCGAACAGTGGGGTAGGCGAGTCAGCTCACGCGAGCCCATGTTCCCAGCGCCTCCCCGCGCCGGCTGCGCCAAGGGATACGAACAAGAGCGCCCAGCGGGCGGCGGGGCCGGAGCCAGGTACACGCAGCAGATTTCGTCCCCCCAGCTGTCTTTCCCCAGCAGAGACGCAAGCCACCCTGCCCTACAATTGGGGCTCCGCCCGGGGTGGGCGAGGAACCTCACAAGCGCCAACCCGCTACCACGGTGCATTGCTGTCTCGCGAGCAGAACAACTGATTGATCGCGTCTGCGACACCGAGACGGACCGATCCCTGAGAGGCTCACCCCGCACTTCATGGGATATGCGTTCCTTGCGCAGATTGAAATGCGCGAAACAAGCGGGCGGCTTGAAAGCAAGAAATAAAGAAAGCTGGTGCATCTGTCTTATTTCAGAGTCAGCTTGCAGATGTGGCTCAGAAGAACCACAGCCGATCTGGCAAACCGCTCGGGGACCCCCGCGTGGCTGCAGAGTGGCAAACCATTGTCCGGACCACTCGAATGTGGCCCCTGTGCGTACGATGTAAGTCGAACCATGATGAGC